GCGCTTGGACAATTGCAGGCTTGAATTATTGATGGAGCTTCTGTTTTTCCTGAGTGCAGCGTGATAGGCAACTGGAACCAGGAGAATTTGTTGCTTCCTGTCTCTTGAGGACGGGGGGGTCTGGTGCTGAGAGTTGTTGATCTTTGCTTTTGAAGGGCAGGCAGCCAGCTAGCTGTCCTCAGAGTCCCTCAAATTGATAGGGCAAGGCCAATTATTTGAGTGACGTTGCCATTTTTCTTGTCTAGTCCATGCTGGGGACTGTGGTGAAGCAGGAGCAAGTTCCTTGGGCGGTGTGTCCCTGCTTGTCAGCCTGATGGGTGGGTCTGGCCTGGGAGCCCAGAGACCCTGGTGCCCCCGCAGGGGCTCAGGTGGTTTGGGCGAGGGGCTGGGTCCTGCCCGGTTCTGATCCTGGCTGGTGGTGAGGAGCTGGAGGAGAAGGGCGGCTTTGCTAATGCCTCGCGGCGGGGGTGGGGGGCTGCGAGGGGTGTCTGGCCATGGTGACAAACATTGCCACTTGTTTAACAGGTGACCGGGGGACACACAAGCAGTAAAGCTGTGGGGAGGAGGGCTGGGACTTGGCAGTCGGAGCCGATGTGACTGTGTCTCGGTCCTCGGTGGCAGAGGGCTGTTGGGAGTGAGTGCCTGGGGGTGTTTCAACAGGGAGCTGGGGCAGGGCTGATGTGGTAGAGGTGGTTTCTGGCTTTGTAGGTGCTTGGGTTGAGCTTTGCTCAAAATCCACCATGCTGAGGGAATGGCCTTAGCTCCAGGGATCCCAGGACCATTAGGTGATAGCTCTCTGGGGACTCGTGGCACAGAGCAGCGCTGGAGCAGGTCCTTGGAAAGACCCAGGCCGGAGGGTTGTGTGCTGGAGATCTGCTGCGCTGCAGCAGGTGCTGCCTGTCAAGCCTCCTGCCTGTGTCTTACCTGCCGGATCTTGTCCCCTTTCCCTGGATTGTGGTGTACAGCTCCCCATCTGCTGGCTCGGTCCGGGCCCCAGCGTTAATCTTTCTGTGGCTAACGTGGAAGCACTCCTGGTGGGGAGCCTTCAAGGCTTGAACTCCATCCTCCAGCAGAGGAGGGTGCAGGTGAACTCTAGGTGGGTATGGCTGTGGTTTGGCCCTAGAAATTATTTTTCCAGGCAAAGGATTTGTTCTGGAGGAAGGCAATCCCCCGGAGAAGCAGGGGCAAGGGGCTTTGGAAAAATGTGCCGAGTCAAAGTTGCCCCCAGTGGAAGAGCTCTGGAGGGCTTGGTCAGGGTTTAGGGTGTCTTTCTGGCTACTACCAAGCCTTTAGTCCAACCAGGAGGGTTACAGTGGGTACCTGTACCTGCGGAAGGAAGCTCTCTCCATGCGAATCTGCTGATGGCTGCCTCCCTCTCCCGAAGGCACCGGGCGCTGAATGTCTCTCTGGTGGACCTGCTCTGGCTTCAGGACCTCTGGGCACAGCGCAGGGTTGTGCTGGTGCCAGGAAGTTGGGAAATGAGATAAGGCCAGAGGGATTTGGATGTAAGGTCCCTGGGGGTCCCCTCTTGCTGATAACCATGGGGGAAGTGCTCTGGTGCTGCTTCTGCCCTGGGGCGTCCTTTGTCTTTAGGCTTTTTATTTTGCCCTGAACCAAGCCAGCCGAAATATTTTTGGCTTGCTGGGGTTTTTAAGTAACGGGTGTGTCAGCAAGTGCCTCTCTCATGATGAAAAAGCTTTCATGCAGCCGTCCTCAAAGATGGTCAGGGTCTGGCTTTGGAAAAATGCTCTGTAGCTGTATCTTCAGAGGCTGGGGAGGAGGAGGAGGGGGGAATGGGCGCAAAGCGATCCCTGGAATTTCACCCTTGCAGGGTCTGGCATACTTGGCTTTGAGCTGTCACAAGCATCTTGCTGGCTGGCGCAATCAGGCTATATGGCTGAGGCTGTCCTCTTCCCTCCCCTCCCTGTCTTGCTTTGAAGATGACCCGTGCCCCGAGCTGGCATCGGGAGGCCATGAGGGGCTGTGCTGTGCCCGGGAAGCCCCTATCCCTGAAATGCTGGCGTATGAGCCACCGCGGGAGGGATTTGGGGCCGGTTCTCCGCAGCTGCGAGGGTGTAAGGCTGAGTGGCTATTTGGGGTTTGTCTGTTAGCCAGCTGTAAGCGAAGGGCGGCACTCCAGCCCAGGATGGCGCTGGTGTGTGTCTGCGGGGAGAGCTGGGGACAGCGCTTCCTAACCTCTCTGGACCTGGCACTGCCTCTTGGTAATTATGTCTTTGAGCCCAGATCGATGAAGACTGGATGGCTGGAACGAGGGTGGAGGGAGGTGGTGTGTCCTGACAGCGGAGGCCCCAA